GCCCAGTGTGCTCATGGATCTTCTGATGTTGGAGTGCAACATCAAGCAAAACGGACACCAGTTCTGCTCCAGGGACACCCATGCCAGGAAGAAAGATGACAGATAAAATGAATTGTGACTCAAACAGAATGGTAGAAGGTGACAAGTGCCATGGAACAGAGTAGAGCCAGCTGAGCGAGCTAGGAAGCACAAGATGGGGGGACATCACGATTTTAAATATGAAGTCAGAATGACTCACCGGAAAGGTGAGGATATGAGCCACGTGGCCATGGGGGAGGAGAAGATTCTGGGGAAAAGCAAGTGCAGGGCCTAAGGTGGGCGTGTGTCTGGCATGTCCAAGAAGCAACGAGGAGGGCAGTGTGGCTGGCACAGAGTGGAGGTGGGCAGTGGAGGAGAGGAGGGATTTTGGGGGACACTCGGGGCTGTGTATGCAGGTCACAGGCTCTTACTACAGGGGTAGAGGAGCTATTGGAGGTGTTCGAGCAGAGAAGTGACATAACCAATTTTTTTAAGTTATTCTAGCTGCCAGGTTGAGAAAAGATCAAAGGACAGGGATGCAAGTGAGAGGCCACTGAGGAGGCTGTTGGATTCAACGAGACAAGAGATGATGGCGTCTCAGACAGGGTGGGAGGGCGCATGCTGGAGGGGCGAGTTCTAACCTCACCTCCTTCCTTTCTGCCGTCAATCACTCTATGCTATCCACACTGGCCTCATCATAGTTCTGCAAACATACAAAGGCCACCTCAGGGCCTTTGCACTTGCTGTTCCCTCTGCCTGAATGCTCTTCTACCTGGATGTCCACACGCCTCATTCAGTCACTTTATTCAGCTCTTTACTCAAATGTTGCATTTCTCAGCAGGCCTTTCATGGCCACTTACCCAAAATTTATACCACCACCCCCAGCCACATCCCCCCTTTTCTCTCCCCCCACCTCCTACCTCCCTCCCTGGCTTTATTTTTTCCTCCTTAGTATGTTCTACTCTCTGATACCTTCACACATTCCTTGCTTATCCCATGTATTGCCTATCTTCCCCAATGAAATGCAAGCTTCGTGAGGGCAAGATAAGTGTGAGGTCAGTAGACACGAAAATGGAGATGTCCAGGCAGCAGTTGGATCTGTGTCTGGAACTAAGGAGAGAGGTCTGAGCTGTAAGGTCAGTATTTAACACCATGAACCTGGGTGACATTGCCAGGAGAATGCAGAGAGAGGATACTGCAAGACTAAATGAGGTGCTCCTACATTTAACAGCGGGGACACAAGGAAGGGGCAGCAAAGGAAACTGACAAGGAGTGGAAAAACCAAGAGCTCTGCATCCTGGAAGCCAGGGTAGCATGAGAGGCACGCCAGGTGGATGAAGGCAGTGTCCACAGCTTGGGGCCATGGGGGGAGAAGGGGCAGTGCCATGAAGAGTGAAGCGCAGAGGAGACAGCAGGTGTGGGAAAAATTGTCTTCCATGAAACTTAGGAAAGGGGAGCCGCATAGCAGGAGGTGAGCAGAGGGAGTGAGCAAAGCGTCACTGCTCCCCATCTCTCACATCACCGCCTGAGCTCCACCTCCCCAGACCCACCTAGTCTGTGGAAAAACTGTCTCCCGTGAAACCAGTCCCTGATGCTAAAAAGGTTGGGAACCGCTTTTTTAAAAGAATCCCCCCAACTACTGTGTGGAGAACAGGCTTTGGGGACACAAGGGCAGGAGCAGGGAAACCACGATCAAAGTTGGGGAGGATTGGGGGGTGAAAAAGAGTTGGTGATGGATGAGATTCCAAGTGTGATACAAAGAGAAGAGTCCAAGAATGTATCAGGCACCTACTGTGCACCAAGCATGCTGTGGGGAGCTTAGCATTTAAAGGTGAAATAGACAGGAAACTGACAGTTGTCCTACAGCATTCCTGGCACTGAGAAGTGAGTGTGAGGTGCTAGCGGGAGAGGGGGGAGGAGGAGTACAGGTAACTCTGCCAGGCAAGGAGGGGGTGTAAGGGAGGCTTCCAGGTGGAGGTGCCATGGGAGCTGGCACTACCAGGTAGAGAGGAGGGGCATTCCAGGTTGATCATGTGCAAACACCCAGAAGCAAGACGGAGAGGTCTGTCATGGCCAGAGCACAGTGAGAGGTCAGTGTGGACACTGGGCTATTGCACGTGAAGACAGACATATGTAAGACTGCAGAGAGACGCTGGAACCACAAGAGAGCAGGGGCGGCTTGATGCTGGGTGCCTGGGTGGAGAGGTGGGGCAGGTACAGGAAGGTGTCCTTTGAGGGCCTCCTTTTTAAGGACAACAGACGTTTGTATTTCTAGGCAACATGTCTGCACACGGTGGGCAGAGAGCAAATAAAACAAAGTTGTGGCACAGGCCATCGGTGCCCCACCCCCTCCCCCAGACCTTCAGTGCACGTGGACCAACTTCTACCCCAGCACCTCCTGCATTTCTCTGCCCAGGGGCTTTCTTTGCCCACCAAAATCCATGTAGTCCACCCACGTAGCAGGCAGGAAGTACTGAAAATGAATACCCACAGGGAGCATCCCAGACACTGACTGATGGGAACGGGTGTGTAGATACCCCACCTCCCTCACCCTGCTGGCGGGATAACTCTGAGGTTGTGTTCTTCACAGCAGCCCCGAGCTCCCCAGCGGGACTAAGCCTCAGTTGCCTACAGTGGTAACTAACTTGATAACATACCCTTTATTGGCTTCCTTCCTTCCCTGTGTCTTTCCCCCCCACTCCACTCCAGGTGTTTCATTTACCTCCCAAATTAACAACTTGCATTTCAATCCCTGTCTCAGCGTCTGCTTCTGGGAGAACCCAAGGTAAGACAAAACCTCAACAGGATACAGTGGGAGAACCTTGGGGCGGAAAGGCTGAGTTTGCATCCCAGCTCCTTCGCATGTAGGGAACTCCCAGCTCACAGCAGACTTCCGCACAGGTTGGCTGAGCAGAAATTAGAATGTTAATGTTTGCAACAAGACCCAAGCCATCCTACAATTTGCCACGTTGCCCACCAGTGCAAATAAAATCCATGCTGATAAAACGATGCCCTTTGGCCGCCTTCGGGCTCACCACTGGAAAGCATAGTCCACTGATGTGTCATCCTGGGCTAAATATAAAGAATGGTAGCCTGAGTCAGAAAGCTATTTTCAGCACTCTTTCTTACTTCGCAGCCATTGAGGGATGCTGGTCTTGAGGGCCACCTTCCTGGAGGCCAAGGTCAGCCCTGGTGGCCCCATTCCAGGGACTGCTTGACCCCTCTCCCAGGGAAAATCATCTCCTCAACACACCCTGAGTGATGCTCCAGTGGCCCCCAAACCCACCAGGTGTCATCTGCTTCTGTCCACTCTCCAGAGCTACGAACTGGGTCCCTTCCCAGGGCTGAGGTCACCTCTCTCAAAAGCTACAGAAATGGGAGGACAGGGAGTATTTATTAAGAGCCCACATTTCAATCTATGAATTTTGGGGGAAAAAACCACAAAAGATAAAAAGGGAAATAAAAATTTTAAAAAGTAAAATAAATAATTTAAAAAAAAAGAGCCTGCCAAGTGCTAATTTATGAATCTTCACAAAATCCTTCCCAGAAAAAACAATATTAAAAGGAAGGTAAGACTGAGGTGGCCAAATAACTGGCTCAGGGTAATGTGACCAAGGTTTGAGAAGCCTGTTCCACCTGGTGCTGTGTGACCCTCCTCTTCCCCCGCGGCGTCTCAGCACCAGGAACGGTCTCTGTGTGGTGGGAGGTGGGTGACGTGCACGTACAACCTCTGAGCCCCCCAAGCTCTCTCTGAGGCCAAGCCCCCCACCCTTCATGCACGTACACATGCTCCCCAACTTACAGTGAAGTCACATCTTGACAAACCCCTGCTAAAATGAAAATACCATAAATGGAAAGTGCATTGAACACACCCAACCTACTGCACATCATCGTAGCTTAGCTTATTAGCCCACCTTAAACGTGCTCACAACAGTTGAGCAAAATCATCTCACGCAAAGCCTATTTTATAATAAAGTGTTGAACAGCTCATGTAATTTATTGAATACCGTACTGAAAACGAAACACAGAATAGTTGTGTGGGTACTCAAAGTACAGTTTCTACTGAACATGTATTGCTTTTCACTGTAAAGTTGAAAAATTAAGTCGAGACATTGTAAGCCCAGGACTGTCTATACTGAGCACCACCATCACCCAACCTGCGTTTCAATGATATTTTATTCACTTGCTACCTAGGGAGCCAGAGCCATGTTTCATGCCTCCTCACAGATGAGCCCAGCACAGTGCCTGGCATGGGAAAAACCTTGGTCAACACTTGATTGTGGGGCTCCTATCCCTTTCTGTGCTGGGGACTACTTACTTAGGCATCTGGTGAAGCCAGTGGATCCTCTCGCAGAGTCATGCTTTCAAAAGCATAAAACAAATACAAAGGATTGCAAATGAAACTGATTTTACTGGGAAAGTTGTCAAAATATTTTTACAGGAAATTTGTGACTTAGCAATAAATGTGCTTCTACGTTAAGCATTAAATAACAAGATCTAGTGGTGTGTTCTCATGACTGTCATTTCCAAATAGTGACAGAACAGAGAGACTATTTCAAAACATCAGCAACAAATGAATGTGACAGGAAAATATCTGTGGGAACTGCTAGTGCTAGTTTGAATCATATAAAACTGCCAATATTATACCAGTTTTGATCTACAAAACTGGTATTGTAATCATTTCACATGGCTTTGTCTAACTCTGCTGTGGTTTGTTGCCTACACTCCTTGAAGGAAATGATCGAGTTCAGGTACAAGTCAGTAAAAATGAAGATGATTACAATATGTTTCTCTATCCAAGTTCATGGACCTCCTGAATTATATCAGGGATCCCTTGTGGGGAGACACCTTGATGGCTCCTCGTGGATGACTCAAGTCAGGGGTCCTGCAGGGTAGGGAGGGTCGTCCCTTTGCGCCCAGGGCCTGCCAGGACCCCCCCCTTCCCGAAGCAGCTAACCAGTGTCGGTCTCTCTTCCCTGCAGGCTCCCTGTTCCCGCAGCTGAAGCCATCGGAGAGTGTCTTCAAGGTCATCTTCTGGCTCGGCTACTTCAACAGCTGCGTGAACCCGCTCATCTACCCCTGTTCCAGCCGCGAGTTCAAGCGCGCCTTCCTCCGCCTCCTGCGCTGCCAGTGCCGGCGTCGCAGGCGACGCCGCCCCCTCTGGCGCGTCTACGGCCACCACTGGCGGGCCTCGACCGGCGGCCTGCGTCCCGATTGCGCCCCCGGCCCCGGCGTCGCGCCCCCCGGGGCCCCGCTGGCCCTCACCGCGTCCCCCGACCTTGACCCCGACCCCCCAGGCACGCCCGAGGTGCAGTCTGCGGTCGCCGGCCGTCGAAAGCCGCCTTGCGCCCTCCGCCAGTGGCGCCTGCTCGGGCCGTTCCGGAGACCCGCCACCCAGCTGCGTGCCAAGGTCTCCAGCCTGTCCCATAGGATCCGCGCTGGCGGCGCCCAGCGGGCAGAGGCTGCATGCTCCCTGCGCTCCGAGGTGGAGGCCGTGTCCCTGGGCGTCCCCCACGACATGGCCGAGGGCGCCACCTGCCAGGCCTACGACGACTACAGCAACCTCCAAGAGACTGATATTTAAGGACCCCTGAGCTAGGCCCCTAAGCTGAGCTGTGGGGGAGGGAGGCTGGCTTTGTTCAAGAGGTCTGTGTAAATCAGGGACCGGGAAAGTCATGGGGTGGCTGCTCTGTGGCATCCCTGAAGCACTCGGGTGGGGCTTGGGGCTGGAGCCCTTGAACGAGCTCCTGGACACTGGCGCCCAGAGCTCTTCCTTTAGGAGAGAGGGGCTGTGGGCTCCGGTTCCCTAGGGCCATTTGCTCCCAATCCCTATTTGAGAAACACTGCCCCATCCACCATGCCCTGAACCCTGAACAGACAGCCCCAAGTTTGGCGGGGCAGGCGGCCCCTGCTCTTCAGGGAGTAGGCACAAAGGCCTCGCCTGGCTGGCCCCAGGGCCTCCCCTAGGGAAAAGTGGGGCCAGGGCTCCTCCATGGACATAATTTCTCCTTACTGCCGACTGCAGAGACCCAGTGGACCTGCCACCACCACCCACAAGCTTTGTGGCAGATAGGATGGCGGTCATACAAGCCTGTTGTATTTGCCCCTGGGCCCACTGCCCCCTACCCAGGCATCTCCATGCACACCCCATCACCTGGCCCTGGCCCTCATTACCGCCCCACAAGGGCCTTACTGTTTACACTGTACATAGCTCATTGTGCCTGTGCCCATCACTTCTTGCTGGGATTCCAAGCCACCAACTGGGTGAGGCTTTATCTGTCATTTTGAGACATATTTATTAGTAAGAGTACTTCTATTTTGTCCAAACTGTGCAGACTGTCCCTCTTTAGCCCATAACCCACAAAGAACTACTTTTCTTTCCCCTAAAATCCTTCAAGTACTAAAGGCCCATAACAGGATAGATCGGTTCTGCATTCGCTTTTCTAGTTTCAACTTAACTGGCTTTTTAACTGATGGCTGCTGTCCTTTAGGACTTTTGGCATGACCAAAGGATTTGGAGGTTTTGTTGGCTTTTAAAATTCACATGATCAGTCTTGGGAACCAGATAGTGATCATAAGCACAAATTTTCCCTTTGTCAGTCTCCCCAGATGCATCTGTGATGCTCTGAGGACCTCAGTGAGAAAGGCGGCCATCAGTTAAATGGGTGAAACGTTACATGAAAAAACATATGAGCCCAAGTAGACGTGTATACATGGCTAGTAAGAGGCCCCGTACCTAGGAACCAGGCTTGTTAGCTTTGAGTAAAATGCCATATTCCCACTTGTCATATTCCCACTGGATTGCAGGCAGTTCAGTCTTCAGCTGAATAATATCAACCCTATATATCCAACCAGCATAGGAGTGATGGCTGTGGCCCAGTGGACTCTTGGAACAAGAGCTGGTTAAACAATACCCTGGGGTGTCCGGGGATGCTCTGAAACTGGAAGAGCCAGCTGCTGGGGCCAACATGGGCCAGTATTTTGAGCCAAAAGTTTTCATCCTGTACTAGGGAGGTAGTGTGTTCAAAAGGTCATAACATTTTCAGGCCTCTCACCCAAGTTTTATAAGGTTACAAAGGCAGCCAATATCACAGCTTGGACACAGACATTTCACACAGTGGGTCTACAACAGGTCCAGGGCTTTCAGGCTCTCAGCATCCCCCAAAGAGCAGTTTATGGCTAGGAGCATGTTGGGTGCTGGGAGTAAGTTGTATACTCCAAAGAGGGCCCTACTTTGTAGTATATAGTCTTCCCTAAGGCTGGAGATGGTGGGGACAGCTCCCACTGTCCTCTGACAGAGGGACAGAGGTAGGGGCCACTGGTCAGAACAGTGGTCAGTGAGGGGGCAGGCCCCAGTGTCAAAGAATTGAACATTGGCCTCCTGGGCTGGGGTAAACCAGACCTGCTTCAATACAGGCTTGGGATTGGGGAGGGTCTCTGAGCAGGGAGAATGTTGAGCTTACAGGAGGTCAAGTTGGGGAAGAGGGGAGGTAGAAAGGGAACCTTCATCAGGAGGATTTGGGGGCTTCTCTGGCCTGGATAACACAATGGGAGTGGAGGCAGGAGGGGCCAGCAGCTGCCCTGTACTTGCTCTCAGCATGGTGATGAGTCATGAGACTTGTGGTCACGAGTCTGTCAGCAGAACATGTCTGATGTTCAAGCCTCGGCCCCATCTCCTGGGCCGTGAGCCCTCCCCACACAGCTGCTCCACCTGTACCCCCACACCAGGCACTGAGCTTACAGGAGGCGTGGGAGGGCTGCAGAGCCCCCAGAGAGGCCATGCCACAGTAAGGGCATCCAGGGACCTTATTCTAATCATCAATAAAGCCCTGTGCTGCTGACCTTGGTCTTGGGGTATGGCAAAGGGCCACAGAGTGGCCAAGAAGAATAGCGGAAACAGCAACAGCCCTTCTGGAGGAGGGAACCTCTTGCAGGTGGTTTGGGAACATCTGGAAGAAGTGCATTCACTGCACCATTTCCTGGGCCCTTGGGTGCCCCAGCCCCAAGCTGGCCCACACATTGATTAGAGAGACTGTCCCCGAGAGGCATGTAGAACCTGGGCCTTGTCTGCAAGGAGTAGGAGTTTTTTTACATGACCCTCAAGGGATGGGGTGAGGCCCGAGAAAGTGTGTGAGTGAGAAAGGGATGGTCCTGTGAGGTGTGACAGGGACAGAAGCAAGCCTCACCTGGACACTGGCATTCACACAAGTGTCCCCCCATCCTTAAAAAGCCTCATTCCTGCTTCCCACTGGAGGACCCCAGCTCCGGTCTGTCCTCCCTCCCCAGCTGTGCTGTTGCCACCCACCTTGCCTTGCTTCCCACACTCTTCCCAGGACCTCTGTCCCCAACATCCCCAGGGCTGCTTTTGCAAGTCACCTGGGACCTTCCATTTCCCTGGTCTCCTCCCCTCTGTCTCTGTGGCAGGCCACACTGGTGACCGCCCCCTGCTTCTCGAAATGTCCACGCCCTGCCTCTGGGCCACACCCCTGGGATCTCTTCTGATCTTCTGACCCGCTGACCACACACTCTCTCTGCTCCCTCCGCAGGCTCCTCCACCGTTAAATGTTCCCTGGGGTTTTATCTCTCCTTTTCTTCACTCTCGCACAATCTTGTCCTCTCCAAGTCATCTCAACAACCACTTAGACATAAATGACTCCCAAGGGGCCATCTCCAGCTCCAGATGTGCGTTCGCCGCCCCCCCCATGATCTCCAGACACCCCAAATACAAGCTCCAAGGCACTTGTCTCCTGAAAACCTGCCTCCTCAACTCCATTCACGCACAAAGATGCCACCGGAGCTGTCGCTTCAGGCTCCTGAGGCCCCCGTCCACTCTCCCTCTTCCGGGCTCTTCCCTCCTTCCATTCACAGATCCCCTGCTCGAACTAAGCCCTGCACTTCCTGCAGCCTCCCCGGCAGCTCGCGTCCAGATCATCCAGGGTTAGAGTCCACTGGCAGACTCTACATCTACATGCACGACAGGGGAAGGCTCTCTGTCCCCAGGGAGACTCAGGGCTGGGCTTAAGTGCTTATTAAATACTGGATCTGATGAGTTGGCCCACTGACCCTTCCCTGGGACACTGCCTCATTGCCTACCTGGTAGTTGGCTCTACGTCACCATCCTCATAAGGCCCTCAGCCCCGCTGGCCCCACCAGTCTTCCTACAACCTGAGAGCCAGCTATACTCTGGGCTGTGGCAGGACACACCCCTCCACGTGCCCTCCAGTCCACCTAGCCCTGCCATCCCACCCCCATGGCCCCTCACCACCATGCCACAAGCCAGTCCTTGGTCCCTCCCACTCCAAGTGCTGACAGGCCCTGGGGAAGGGTTTAAGACCTTGGCCACCCTCCCCTCAGTGACCTGTCAGAGCTCCGAGTCCTCAGAGCCCTCCTGCCCCTGTTTCTATTCCCAGCGTATGACACGCCCAGGGGTTACATGTTCACCGGCCACTTGGAAAGAATTTCCTTTTTTTTCTCTCTCTCTCTTCTTGTGGCTCCAGTAAAGTATAAAACCAGATGCTTGTAAAGGCTAAACCGGTCCACAGCCTCTCTGCTCTGGGGGCTCTCTGGGGAGCCCCAGGAGGTGCTGGGGGAAGGGACTTTGGGAAGGGGAGTTAGGGGGGCTTTGTGTTTCTTCCCTTCCCCCAGCCCTTGGGGAAAGCAGGGAAAAGCAAAGGGGATGCTGAATGGGACCCCAGCCTACATTCTCTGGTCTGGGGAGAAACTAAACGGAAATTGCAGGATGCACTTGGAATCAAGAATAAATCCAGGACTTGGGGCCACACCAGAGCTTCCAGAGCCAGCAGCTGGGGGAAGGGATGCCTTGAAGGCATCTACAAGCACCTCGGTCACCACATTTCTTCCAGGATTCACCATTCACATGACTCCCATACTGTTTTTGTCCACCTCTTTCAGTCCTTCCAGAAACCAAAAAAGGAATCTCAGTTCCTTTCCCTGAGAACGGGAATCAGATTGGTCCCACTCATCTTTTGAGCCAAGCCACAGAGGTCATGGGTCACTGGCCAGCCTAGGGACTGGCTAACTGGGTCCAGCCTGAACAGTGGGGCGGGCAGATGGGAGTGAGCTGGCTCAGTGGGACAAAACACAGCAGTCCAGGCTCCCTACAGTCTGGGTACCAAGCCTTGGAAGAAGAACAGTTAATGACTGACTCCTCCAGCCCACAGAACCAGCAAAGAAAGCACAGCTGTACGCAGTAAGGAAGTTGATCAATAGCTGCGCAAACCTGGGGCATTATTGTCTCACTTGACAAGTTACCAGGCAGGTGTTGCTGGTATTGCCAGTCAAGGACCCAAGCCCGTTCTATCCGCTTGAAAGTCTTTGGCGTGTTGGTTTCTGTCCTCTTTGTTGCCCCCATCATGATCAATCACGCCAAAACTCATGTTCTTGTTCAAGGCAGAGAAAGGAGAAAGATCTAGGCTGTAGCATCTGCCTCCTTTTATCCAGACAGCAAAAGCATACCCAGAAGGACCCTCCCGACACACACCTCCCCTCAGGGTCTCTGGGCTACAGCTGGAAACAGGAGAGCAAGTTAAACTCAAAGCAAACAGAAAGCAGGAAATACTAAGGATAAAAGTAGAAATCAATGACATGGAAAACAGGAAAACAACAGAGAAAAATTATTAGAATAAAAGGTTAATTCTTGGCCAGGTGTGGTGACTCACACCTATAATCCTGAAACGGGAGGATCCCTCAAGGTCAGGAGTTCAAGACCAGCCTGAGCAAGAGTGAGACCCCCCCCCCATCTCTACTAAAAATAGAAAGAAATTAGCTGGAAAAATAAAAATATATAGAATAAATTAGCCGAGCATGGTGGCACATGCCTGTAGTCCCAGCTACTTGGGAGGCTGAGGCAGGAGGATGGCTTGAGCCCAGGAGTTTGGGGTTGCTGTGAGCTAGGCTGACACCACAGAACTCTAGCCCAGGCAACAGAGCAAGACTCTGTCTCAAAAAATATTTTTGTAAAAAAAGTTGATTCTTTGAGACAATAATAAAAGTAATGAACCTCTAGCAAGCTGAACAAAAAGAAAAAAGAAAGAGAAGGCCAAATTACCAGTATCAGGAATGAAACAGGATATCACTGCAAACCCTGTGGAATGAAGTAAGCCATGATTAAGGAAAATGTATTAGCTTAATGCATTATGTTATTAAGGAGAAAAGCTAAAATTACTAAGTTAAGGCATCATCTCAAAAAGAAAAACCCAGAACATTAAACTTAAAGAACCAGAAAAAACAAAATAGTAAAGATTAAAACTGAAGTTAATAAATTGAAAATCCACTACAAAATAAGTATCACAAAGCCAAAATTGTTTTTTAAGACAATATAAACTGATTTCAGGCCGGGCGCGTGGCTCACGCCTGTAATCCTAGCTCTTGGGAGCCGAGGCGGCGGATTGCTCACGGTCAGGAGTTCAAAACCAGCCTGAGCAAGAGCGAGACCCGTCTCTACTATAAATAGAAAGAAATTAATTGGCCAACTGATATATATATATATAAAAAAATTAGCCGGGTATGGTGGCACATGCCTGTAGTCCCAGCTACTCGGGAGGCTGAGCCAGAAGGATCCTTGAGCCCAGGAGTTTGAGGTTGCTGTGAGCTAGGCTGACGCCAGCGGCACTCACTCTAGCCTGGGAACAAAGCGAGACTCCTGTCTCAAAAAAAAAAAAAAAAAAAAAAAACTGATTTTCTGGTGGCTTGAGTGAAAAAAAAAAAAGAGAGAAACATCAATGGTCCTATAAGATAAAAAGAAATCACTATAATCCCATGGACACAAAAAAGATAATAAAAGATATTATAAATCAACAATACATTTGAAAACCTAGTGAAATGAACAAAGTCTTTTAAAACACAAACTTACAAATCTCTCCTGAAAACAGAAAATATAAATAATCCTACAATGAAGAACAAATTAAATTTTCAATTTAAAATTTCCAAAGTCGGGCGTGTAGCTGCACGCCTGTACCTAGCACTCTGAGAGGCCGAGGTGGGTGGATCTCTCAGATCAGGAGTTCGAAACCCACCTGAGCAAAGCGAGACCCTGTCTCTACCAAAATAGAAAGAAATTATTGGCCAACTAAAAATATATAGAAAAAAAAGTAGGTGGGCATCGAGGCACATGCCTTATGCCCAGCTACTTGGAGACTGAGGCAGAAGGATCACCTGAGCCAGGAGTCAAGTTTGCTGTGAGCTAGGCTAACACCATGGCACTCTAGCCTGGCAACAGAGTGGACTCTGTCTCAAAAAAAAAAAAAAAACATAAAAACTTTCCAAAACTAAATGGCTTTGCCTGTGAATGCCATCAAACATCTAAGGATACATG